CAGCAGCAAGCCGGAGAAACCAGCCCAACCGGCAAGGTAGATGATATTTACCAAGGTTAGGATAACTTATGGTCGATGCTTGTACACACGCCATAGGACGCTTGTGTGCTGTTGTTTTTCGAAAATGATGTCCGTCATTTGCGTCTTTGATCTTCCGTTTATGCAGCATACGGAGTAACAGCAACACTAAAGCTGAGGTAAATTTGGTCAAAAACAGACCTGCAGATGCCTGTAAAGCCAAATTGGGTGTATTTTCRTGCAGCGATACTGCACAGCTACATACATCTGCCGCCACCGCCTCCATCTTTGCATCAACTGAGATGCATCATGACAGTGATAGCTTAAGTTTTTAACTTAAAGAAATTCAAAAACATTTTTAAATTAGTGAGGCTTTGCCTGTTTCAAAGCAAACTAAGACATCTGTGCTCAGGTAGAGTTGCTAAAAGAGTTGTATGCAGTTGTTTGTCCAGGCTACAAGCTTTGTGGACCAAAAGCAGGTTCATGAGCTAATTAAGTGTAAAGCAAAGCTGCCATCTCAGCACAAACATAAGTGTGGGTTGTTCTTAAGTCTACCCTTGTTGTTGATCCTGTTTGTGGTGTTTATTGATGGAATCTCAAGGAATTGGGGTAGAGAGGAAGGTGTTCATTAGAAACATCAAGGTCTTACGTCTGCTTTTTGACCTCCAGAGCTCTGGAGCAATTTGAGCCTGAGTATAAATCATTCAGGATACTTGATGTAAATCTTGGGTCATGGTTCACAATGAAAAACTGAGGAATGGGTTGAAGATGAGTCTCCTATTTAATTGGTTCTTTTGTGTTTCTTATTATGATCATTATGGACCCTTACTGAAGGAAACAGATGACGGATACAGTCCACTAGTTGGGTGCAGAGCAACTACTGGCTGATCCATGCATCTGGTTAGGTTACCTCATGACCACACGTTTTTTTTTTAAAAGCATATCATTCTAGACCTGAAAGACCTGAATATCCTCTGACCTGGGAGCACCTTGGCATTCTCCCAGGAGGAGCTGAAGACTGAGCTTTTCTCCATAAGCTCCTGCAACCTTTATTTGTCCATTCATCAGTTTTCTTTAGCCAAGTCTCCTTTTTGAGTCATGGGGAGCTGGTGCCAATGTTTTGGTCTGTGGAAAGGAAACTGCAGTGCTCAGAGAAACCCCAGGCCTGCACAGTTAGAACAAACTCTAGACCTGAAGGAAGGTCAGGAGGCGAGTCTGCAACCCACTCGCTGAGCAGTACCATCTGACCACTGCTCCACCACACTGCACCCGCTACAGCCTGACTTTGAATACTTTATTGCAGACAGATGCAAATGAATTTGTCATTATTTCATCTAAATCAACATCTATATAAATAAAAAACACGGGATAACAAAAATGTTTTTTGCTTCATCGGATTGTTTTCCTCTACAGAAATAAGCATCTTCGCCCGCACCGAAAGTTTTATTTATTTATTATAGCAGTTTAAGAGGACACAAAGCCTCAAGACAGGAGTTTAATTTCAAACTGTTTTGAAGATGATATAGAAGTTGAGAGCGACAGATGTACGACAAAACAGTGTGAAGCATCCTGGTTTCACCGCATCACTGCTTCGTCATGGTTACACCTGCATTAAAGCCCATCAGACACACCCAGAGAATTCACCACCTTCCATCCCTCATTGATGACTTTAAGAATAGATCCATGCCYTTCCAGTGTTTTTTCCTCACCCGTTAGTTGATGTAATCATGTTTTGTTTTGTTTTTTAGAAAAATCACCCTCAAGTTCAGCTGTGGTTGTTTGAAACAGTTTGCTCAGAGATACTTTATTCCTGCTGGCCATCTAGACTCAAGCTCTGCCCTGTTTGGTTGTTTGTTTGTTTGTTTGTTTGTTTGTTTGTTTGTTTTTCTGCAGTGCCATCATGGGCCATTGTCTCGATCGCCTTTGTGGCCATCATCCTTGTGTTAGCCTGCTGCTTCTGCATCTGCAAAAAGTGGATTTTCAAAAAGAAAAACAAAAAGAAGGGCAAAGATAAGGGCAAAAATGCAATCAACATGAAGGACGTCATGGACGGAACCAAAACCGAGGTAAAAACTTTAAACTATCGTCACCGCTGATTCGAATTTATTAACAGTTCTGATTAACAAATTGAATCTATTGCATTTCTAATAACTTTTTCTGCTACCACCATAATTAATATTAACTTTAATGATAATTTTAATCCTGTTAAAATGCAACAACTGCTACTGCAATGAACTGTATGTATTTTTTTTATTGATTACAACCAAGTTATTGTTATATGTCCCCATTTTAAAGACTTTCAGATTAGTTACAGAAAAAGAAATGAAAGATAAAGCAGTTCAGTCTGTTTTCTATGAGTTATGGGTCCTGTGGTTGTTTCTTTTTGTTATATGTGGACCTGCTCATATGTTGAAGAGTGTGAGTAACTGTGTAATAAAGCGGTATCCACCCAGAGAAATGACAATACCAAACAAGAAACGAGAAAAAACTTAATGAAGCTGCTTTTGATCCATGTAGAACAGGAAGTTATGATAAACCAACATAAAAAAAGACTCTTTTCTCCTACAGAGCATCATTTTGGTGTTGCTGTCAGTAGGTAATTTGCTGTAACACCTCTGCTATCAGGTGGATCAGAGTCCCAGAGAGAAACCAATGAAGGTGTTTTCATACCTCATTTGATTTYCTGTAATTATAAATCTGATTCTCTCCTAAAACAGCAAACCGCAGAAAGCTTAGTAAGCGGCGGCACACTTCATCGCTCACCCTGTTAACGAACAAGAACTTTCATTAGTTTCCAATAATCTGACTGCCTTTGCACAACCCGGGGTTTATTTTTAAATTGCCATTAATCACAATAAAACGGGTTATCTGTCTCTTTAATGACTAATCTGTGCGATCTTCGAATCTGCCACCGCCAAGGCAAGCAGTCATTTCTCCTGGTGTGCCCAGACTCTAGTGTGTTAACTCCTGCGTGTGGTTGTTTTAATTTGTGTTTCTTCCTTCTATGTCCTCCTTATCTGTGTTGTGTCTGATGACTGTTCGGGATGGTCACTGGCGGTAGGTTCCTAATTGCTGTTGGATCATCTTAAGCCTGCTGCTCTGACTTTTTTTTTTAATAGCCTCTTGACAACAACAACAACTCCCATAGAACCAAATATATGTAACTATGCATACTGTACATGTATATCTGCTGTATATATGTGCGTACAACCTGCATATGCACATATATATGTATGAAAGAAACACTGGGTGCGCCTTGACGAGGTTGAACCACACTGATTTTTGTGCCAAGCCGACGTCTCCCGTCTTTTGAAATTTTCATTCACACTTCAAACAAACAGTGGCGAGCAAACGTAGAATGATTGAGAAGCTCTAAAAGTGGAAGATAACAAGTAAAAGCAATCGCACCGATAATTCTTGTTTAAATTAAGGGATTTTATTTCCTCAATCATTCTACCTGCTGCATATTTCACTTCCTGTTCCATCAAATTGGACAACCCGCAGAAGACAAAGACCAAGTGGCTCAGTGGCAATGTTTCAATCCAATTCCGTGTTGTTCAGCCTTTTGCTTTCACATGAGCAACTTAAACTAATAGAAGCAGGCCACGATGTACATTACAACCCCTCTTTTACCAACACCTATCCACCCACCGCTGGCATGATGCTTCTAGCTACATCAGCATAGGGTTGAAAACGTCAGGGTAATGATGACTGTATGTTTGAGGTCGTAACCAGACATGGGAATGAGAAATCACTGGAGAGCACTGTTTTGTATGACAGAGAATGCTCTGCATGCCAAATGAGAGAGACACCTCAGAAAGGAAACTTTAGCTGTTGAATGACTGACAGCTAGTCTTTGCCTCTTCAATCGCATGTTCTTATAAGAGACTCCCCACACCCCTCCTATCACCATCTGCTACCCTCACCTCAGCGCCAGACTAGAGAAAGGCCAACTTCACCTCTCACTCTGCCACTTTACACACWTCCCAATTGTTCTTACCACCGAAAAAACTGACAAAAATAACATCATTTTGTCTCACTGCTGTATTCTCTTAAATCATCTCTCTTCTTTCTCGTGTCCTCTTTCAACATCTCTCTATCCTTCCTTTTTTCTCTCTCTAATGCTTGATCATTGCTCTCATTTCTTGTGTCATCATTTGATCTTTCCCCTCCTCCAGACAGAAACCCTCAAAGATTGATAAAAAAAAAGCACCACAGGGAACCAGGCCTGGGGCTTTAGTGCATCTCAGAGCATGCCCTGATGTAATCTGCTATGATATGTTTTAGTGCTTGCTCCCCCCTCCCCTCCTCRCCTCGTTTCCTTCATTTCCAAWATGAAYCAAGTTGGGAGTTTTTACAGCAGTAGGTTTCACAGGCAGGACCTGGGCGGGAGAACTGCTGGCTGGGTGCTAGCGCTCTCTACGATCAGGCGACACTGACTCTTGGTGGGTGTCTCCTTCAGGCCTTGAAGGATGAGGAGGATGCAGAAACAGGGCTGACTGAAACGCAGAAAGAGGCCGAGCCAAAGGAAGACCAGAAACTGGGCAAATTACAGTACTCCCTGGATTACAATTTCACCGAGAATACGGTAAGCATCAGTTCTCCAAATCCCTTTTGAGTGTGTGTAATTGTTGCAAAACAACTCTCCTCGTAAGTATGGTCCGAGCGCACAATTCAGGCTCAACTTTCCATCACTGCAGGGAATAAACAACCCACAACATTCTTTTATTGATTCTCTACCGCTGCTGGAAATACAGTGTGGTGTAGAAGCTGTAGGAAAAAATAAATAAATATGATGCTCAATTTTGTTCATTTACCACTGAGCCTTGTAAAAGCAACAGCACACCACTGGGATTTAGTTTGTCTCTGCGTTTGTTTCTTTTCCACTTGATTGAATGCAGCCCTCGCAGATATCCATCTGCTTTAGTCTGTTTTTCCAGTGTCTGAGTTTTAAAAAGCAGAATGGAGGAGTGCATCAACTTCCTCGTGCCAGATGTTATACGACAGATAATAGATGTGATGCATGAATGCTCGGTCCCTCACCGGGTTGGCTTACTCACATTATAAACAGATCTGACAGCCTGAGATTAGACAGTACCACTATACATTACACAATGCATATCTCCTCAAAGTAATTCAGTAACGTAAACAGAACTTGTGGTGCATTGTGTACTTTTCACTGGCATAATAATCAATCATTTTTACTGCTTAACCTGTGAAATATTCCTGTCAGTAAAGGTGCAGATGAAATTATACAATGATCCATCAAACAGACCCTTATTTCTTTTAGAGAAGCCCTTTAATAAAAGGGATATTTTATGGACAGTATTACATTTCACAGTGCTGATCTGTCATGTAGTGGGAAGCAGTGACAGCTCTCTTTGGGCTTCTTGATTACGCAGGTAATGAGCTCCTCTGTGGTGCTGAAGCACAATGAATGGATGACAGTTTTCACATTCTGTGACACTGACCTCAAAGAAGCTATAGGCTCGGCTCAGTGGCTCTCTCAGGGTCTTCAGGAATTTTTCTTTTAAATTAACACAACACAACTGCTTACTAAGAAAGACATTTGTAAAATGTTTCTAATAAATGGCTGAAGTGTCCAGTCTTTCTGATAGTGATTACAAATCATGTTAAAAAAATGATTGCAATTTTTGTTTTGTTTTTGTTTAATTAAATATAATCATAGTTTTCAAATAACTGAACTATCACAAGTACAAGAACCATCACTCAATTCAATTTTCTAAACGTCTTATTATAATTATTGCATATTTAGCACAATCAATTTAAATTTCCACGAGACAAAGACAAAAATGTTTGCTTTTTCAAGCAGTGCATCATATCAGGGATATAAAAAACTGGTTTTAGCCTGTTTTCTGCTAACTCTTTGATTTATGTATTCACGTGAGCTTCAGTCGTGAAAATTTCAGTTGTACTTTTTATTCCACTATAATACTGCTCAAGAAATGTGTCATGTGAGACAGTAAAACTAGTGCACATAAACTGCACTATAATGTAAAGTATGAAGCATTCTAGCCTGAAGCTATAGAGCTGCTGAACCTAACACTAATGCAGCTCATGATTGATTTTGTTTTGTTAAAAATAAAAAAAGCACAGATCTTTATCCAGATGTCTCAGCTGTAAAGTAGCTTGTCTCCGTTTCATGAGAGACAGGTTTGGAGACGTTAAGCATAAGTAAAATGTTAGTTAAACCCTAAACATTAAAAACACTCTGATAAATGTATTGTATTAAATATGAGCTGCACCATATTGTGGGTATTTACTGGTTTGAGTCCAGATTATTTATTTTCACATTACTGATAAATCATAGAGTACCATTAATGTGCATAAGGTTTGGTGATTTATTGTTTTATGTCACGTTTAACTAATTTTAAATAGTAGTCAGACTGGTAACTTGGTCAGATTGCTTGTGTTGTTTATTTTTTACTATTTTTATCCAATAAGTGGCAGTTTTTTACAGCTGCAGGTGTAGTCTGAATGAAAAAGTTATTCAGCACCTATTGATAGTTTTAACTCCTGATCTGAAGCCTCCAGTTTATTTTGTTTATATTGCAACATTGAGCCTGACGTTACAATGAGCAAGCGGGGAACTTTTCCATGCCATGGCCCCCCAAACAGCATTAGCCTCTGGCTAGGGACCCACCTTGCAAACCTAAAAAAAATAATAAAACTTTATTATCTACAAACAGTATAAATTATATTTTAAAATAATGATTAAAAAACAGATTCAAGTTTATGATACTGATTTAATTCCCTCCAGTTTCTGAGTCACCTTTGAAAAACCCTGATCTAGAATACAGCTTTTCCAGCTCAAAATATATATTTGGACTTTAAAAATTAAAAAAAATTTACAAAAATCCTACTAAAAACATTTTTTGTAAACAAATAAACTGATGTGAGAAATTGACTTGGTTTTGGAACCACATGGTTGCCCCTGTGGTCACTGGATAAAATGCAGGAAAAAAAAATGGATGCATTGGATTCACCTTTCAGACAGGGAGGCCACAGCCATCTTTAATGTACAGACAGTCATTACAGTGCAGGGATAATGGAAATGGTAAAATCTAATAAAAATAAAATAGCATTTTTCATTTTTTAATAACTTGCATTGGAAAAAAAAATCATACAATCTACTTTCATTCTTGCCCTCATGACATTTAGATGTAAGTAAAGGTGTAAAAGAAGCCATTTTAATTAATAATTAATATCAATAATTTAATAATCCTTTATTTATTTTTGTCTTCTAAAGTAAGCACCTTTAATAATCACAATGCCACCAGGACACTTCATAGACATGCAGCAATATGCTGTTTTGTCCTAAATATCATGAGATATGTTACACCTTTAGGATCCCACTCAGCTAATTAACTGTCAGCACTTTAAAAGAGACTCATGTCCCATGAAGACCTTAAGCTCAGTAAATGTCAAACCCATTCTAGAAGAAGCTGGAGACACCAGTGTGTCTGTGTACAAGTAAAGGAGATCAGGGTGGAAACACTTGCAGATTAATGTCAGCTCCACACGGCACAGCATTGTTTCTCTCTGTTAAGCACCACAAATGGCTGCAGCGCCCCCTGTGTTGATGACACTGGCTTTATCCACTAATGAGGCAAAAGGTTTTGTAAAAGGCCCAAATTGTTTGGGGAACAGCAACGAGACATGAGGCAAATACACAGCAAATGAAGCAAGAAGAGGCATCTCTGTGCCACAGGAAGAGAATTACAGTGTCATTCCCACGTTCGACATCATTACCATATTCATTGCTCTTCTCACAGGTCAAGAGCAGCCGTAATGCCTCGTGTCCAGTCAGAATGAGAGGAATTTAACTCAATATTTAGATGAGATGAGTTCAAAAGCTCTCAAGTGTTCCTTTTTGCTTGTCCTTACGGATCATTCCATGTTTTCTCTCTGGTGAATATTGCTCAGAGCAGTCAGTTTTTAATTTTTTTAGGAGTGTGTTCTGATGTAGGAAATATCAGCTGCCAGAGGCTGAATCATCCTTGTGTGTGCTCATTCTGGTCAACGTCCTGCTCAGTGCCATGAAGCATAACTCACAAACAAAAAAGGGGGGTCTGGGGTTAATACCGCTGGCTTTTTGCTGTAAAACCTCCCGAATCCTGAGTTAAACAGAAAAACCCACACAGGTGTGTAAACACAAAGCAATTTTTCTTTTTCTCAACAGTTTAATGCTTATATTTTAAAAAGTTTGTTCTTTTTGTTGCTACATAATTATTCTGAGGTTTTTGGTTTGTCACTCAACTCACGGGGAGTGTGTTTTGTTACATTTTTTTTTAGACAGACAAGAGAGAAAAGGTAATTCTAGCATTTTTGTCTCATTTCAATTGTTTGATTTGTTCACAAACAAAATGAGCCCAAATATTCTATTATGTTTCTGAATATTTGTGTCCAGTTTTTTTCTTTAGCAAAAAAAGGCCTAAACTTGTGAATGTTTCTTTAAGAGCCATTTCTTTCCTTATTCTTAACTTTTAATAAGATTTTTTAACACTTAAGATGAGACCTTTGATAATTATTCCAGTCTCTGAGATTAAATCAGCTTCTACGTCCCAGAAAGGTTAGCCAGGACAAAAATGTGTTAATGATCAAATTAATGAACTGAATTCATACACGTGGCAGCAATAAGGTTAAAAAAGAGCTGAGATTTCATTTTTTTAGTGTGGAGAAAAAAAAACTTTGTGTGAAAGGAACCTGACTGGTTAAAGCAAAAAAAAAAAAATCTGATTTTACTGCCAATTGTCTTTCCCCTTTGGGAAACTCAAATATGGATACTGCTCAGAAGGCAGCCAAATGAAGAACAAACTGATTTCTCAAAGCAAAAGGCAAACTAAAAGTGCTTTTGAGGCCAGGAGTACAAACTGAAGTAAAACAAAACTAAATTTAGAAGTGGAAGCAGACAGTCTGCGAGAAACAGCATAAAATGTATTTACAGACAGAGCAAAGGATAGAAACAAACCAGGTGTGATCATTAGCAAATAAATAGCAGGTGTGAAGGAACTGAAACACAGATTACAAACTAAAATAACAAACAAATTACAGCTTCATATATCAAAACACTCGTGAGAAGTCTTTTAATTTGAACCATTTTTGGGAAACTGAGTTAAAGTTACCATTTCAAACCATCACTGTTAATGAGTTTAAAACAAACTTCTCTGAGTTTGTTTACAAACATGTAGCCAACAGGAAAAATGTAATTAGCCGAGGCATTAAAGTGTAAACTAACATTTCCAGACATCGTTCTGTAATCTCACCTCAAGCAGCAGAGCCTGTCTGTGTTAAGAAGGTGTGACACGCTGTGTCTTCTGATGGAGGAAAAAATGTGGAGGACAGGTTGGATTCAGAAATTATTACGGTTAACATCCAAGTGCCTTCATCATTTTCTGCTGCTCACTTTGGATTTGTGAAGGTAAAATTAAATGACCAATGGAATAATTTGTTTTTATGGCATCAGAGTTACACAAGTTTTTATTTAGATTCTTAACAGTTGTGCATATACCTCAAAAAATATATATATACAGTGGGGAAAATAAATATTTAGTCAGTCACCAATTG